ATGCCAGTATAATCCTTGTGGGCAAAGTTTTTCTGAGGTTTCTGAGTTCCAGCTCGTAACACACACAACAGAGCTGTTGCACCTTTGCCCAGGGCTCTTCTAGAAGTACTTTGCAGACTGATGAGGCAGAGGTCACTGGGGCTGTAGCTGGGGTTTGTCTGCTCCTTCCCTACCTTCCTACAAGTAATTCTTCCGCTGGAGCTGTTGTGCATATGAAAGGTCAGGCTTAAAGGCTCTCTCTGTTAGCACTGACTTCCTGGCAGCCTGGGACAGGCAGCTTTGCTCCTTAAAATAAAGTGGCAAGCAAGAAGGCATTTAAATTATCCTGAAATGGTAGAACTTGCAGACACAAAAAGCTAAAAGAGTTGGAGGCAAAAAAGCCCTCAAAACTAGATAAGATGGATGACGCTGCTTAAGGTAAAAAAAATCTTCATGGATGCTGCATTCCTGCAACTCAAAGTATGCTCACTCCTGTACATGGTGCAGTGCCAGGTCAGGTCTTAGGCTTCTGGATTTGTCTATATATTCCCTGCATGGCTTTGGGCAGCACTCTCAAATATTTCTGTGCCTTTTTTTTGTTTTTATTTAATCACATGTAATTCAGGATGAATGTCTTTCTGTCTTCAGGGTAATTAATGAACTGCACAGCCCTTAGACATCTTCAGAAGGAAAATGTTGGCCAGTGGAGGCTGTGATTGCTGTGGGAGGGAGATACAAGCCCTATCCAGCCCAGGACACAGCCAGAACCCCCAGTTAGTGGGGTTTCAGGCAGGGTGTCGAATGCCACTTGGGTGAAACTTTCTGTGGGTCTGAGACTTTAATCAGCACTTAAACACTGTACAAACACCCCGGGCAGATAAGCAAATGCACGTGAAACCCTCTGGGCAAGCTGTTGATGAAGGAAAGCAAGTGCAGAGAGAGCAGGAGCAGCACTGGCGAGGGTGGCTGCAGTCCTTGGCATGGTGTGTGCTCTCCGTGATAGAGCCTGGCCCTCCTGTGCTAAGTGAGTGCTACTGGCTCCATCTCATTCTGCGGCCCAGATACGCTTCAGGGCTCTTCAAAGGGATAAAAATATATTTTTAACCTGAGGCAGCTGCCTTTTTTTGTGTGGTACATTTTTTTCTCGTAGCTCTGGAAGTGACAAGTTGTTTTTCAGCCCCTCTGTTTCTCAGCTGTCTCGGCAGAGGTGCCTAGAGGTCTCAAACCAGATTCCCAAAAACTTAAGCCCTGGAAATTGGTAGTCACTTTTGAAAATGTTGGCAAGACGGTGCAGCTTCCTACAAATGTTAACTGATGGCCATTTGAACAGGCTTTTTCCTCAGCCAAGTCCTCGCCCCATTGAAGTTAATGTGAATTTTCTTTGAAAAAGGCCATAAAGAAATTGTTTTCTTGGCAAGTAGAGAGGTGTTTCATGGACTCGGCATCAGCATTCAGGAGAACTTCAGCTATCTGCTTAGTTGAATAGCCACACTTGTCCCACCCTGCACAAAGCTCTCTACCTTTTGATCCAAAATAACACAGGAGATGTTTTCCACATGCCATAAAAAAAAAAAAGCTATAAAACAATTGTTTTGGAGTTTAGCACCACTCCCTTACAGATATATTTAGTGTGAATTGAAACTGGACAGCAAAAAGGCGTTGGCCAGGATGACAGACAGATTAGGGCTCTGTGTCTTGAGGCTATTACATACCTGCCCATCCCATGCTAGTAGGGGTGGTAGGTGGCTTCATAAGTTCATGGTTTGTAATAAATAAACATGACTTGCCACTTTTGGGGCAGCATTAAAAAGCATTATCTGGATGTAAAAGGGGTTTTGGCTTGTGACATGCTCTGTGCTGTCCTGACCTCGAGTCTTTTATCTCTCTACTCTTCTTGTTGCTCCCCAGCCCTTTTGCTCTTTCAAATGTGGTCCATCACACCTGGTGCTCAGCCTTCTCCTGTGCATGCAGCTTGTCCGGAAAGAAATGCTGATGCTCTGCACTTGGGGCCAACAGCTTCTGTCTCATCTCCCTTCCCCTGTGATGAAGCTACCCCTGGAAGCTCCAAGTCAGGATATCTTCTAAGAGCAGCACCAGATTCGGGAGAGGGAAAAGCTGTGATGGGGCTCTGCCATCAGCCCCAGGTGGACCAGTCCAGCTTGGCAGCAGAGTCAAAGGCATGGCTCACCATAGCTGACTTGGCCTTAGAGAGGAGAGCTTACAGTCAATAGCAGCTAGACCTTCCTGGCCACTAATCCAGTCTTGCTCCTGTGATGGTGCCTGGGGAGCCAAGACCAATCTCTCCTGTCCCTGGGTGTGTTCATGCACATTGGCTTGCACACTCCCCTCCCATCGGTGGTTTTCTTTGGGCTGATATTTGTTAGCATTGGAAAGTGAGAAAAATGAGCAAAAATATTATCAGAAGCAGGTTTTGTGAATGAATCAGCCGACAAGAGGCTTACCAGCTTGCCTGCATTTACTAGCACAGTGCTTATTTGGGCAGATGTCTATATATTTTAGTTGGAGGCAGGAAGGAGTGAAAATGGATGGGGGAAGACATCACTTCCAGTTTGCTGCTTTTCTGTTAGTTTGTACCATCTTTTTCTGAATGAAGCAGGGGACTGTGGTGTGCCTGAGAAGCTGCCCTGCTGCTGCCCTTGTTCTGCTGTTGCTGACAACTTGGGGGGCACCAAGGAGAGAAGCACAAAGGAGGTCAGAAGGCTAAAACTCTCCTAAGCAGCTTGTTGGGGATCAGGGCCTGGCCAGCCTTGCCCATCTCTTCACAGTGCTTTTTTATTTGGTCTTCTCTAAAGGCAGCCTCATGGCCTTCACTCCTCTCACTATGTGTTTCTAATTAATGGTGAGACTGGCGTATAAACAGAATATTCCTGCTCAAAATATTGCTTGTCTGACTCCTAGGATGATGGCCAGATGGCAATCACCAGACAGCAGCCTAGACTTTGAGCTCGCCCATCTGGCTATCAAACCTGGTCTCAGCTCTCATCTGGAACCAGAACAGAGGAAAGTAATGGACTTTGCCGGATTGGTTTTGCCCCATGTTTACTTTTCATCTGCTACCTAAGCAGCTAAAAACCTGCAGACCAAATGCATTTAGTATTTTTGGAAATTGTGAAGAAGTTAAAAAAGACACTGGACAAATCCACTGAGAGATGGGTCTTTTGGTGGCTTTTGAATCCTGTGGGTCATATGCATTCTTCAGGCATGAAAGTGCTTTTACTGCTGGTCTGCAGCACAGATTAGGAATGGTCCTGCTCTCAAGCAGCTGCTGATGGTCTCATGAATAGCTGGCTAGGTAGTGCCTTGATCCAGCCCACCTGGGCCATCTCAGCATCAGGCAGCTGCATGTTTGCTGATTCAGTTCAGACAAAACTCTTCTGGCAGTTTCTCCTTTGTGAGCTTGGGGTTGTAATACCTGAAAAGAGCTTAGAAAGCTGTGGCAGAAATAAAACACTTTCTATTATGATTTCTCACTCTGTTGTGACAGTAGGGCTATGCCCTGAAAAAACATCATCATGCAGATTCTGAAAAAAGGAACTGTTAACATCTGTAAATGCTCTGTATGCTTGGTCCTCAGAAGCAGGAGAGATCCATAAATTAAGCACTGTTAGGTCAGCTAAAGCATTGCTTGTCCTGCATCATGCACAGTTTGATATGATTTCTTTAGCTCTAGATAAGTGCCTGAGTTCCATAATGTTGGAAAGCTGAAACTGGAGGTGCCAGATTGAATTGTGATGCTGGGAAGTTGGGTGCTACAGTTCTTCCTTGGCAATACTGAAAGACACTTCCGGTTTGTCACCACCACCAGAACAGCCTGGTCTGTCCCCTGGTGTGGTACCTATGAAGTTGCTGAAGAGGTCTTATATAGAGAAATATATACAGAGACATATAAAGCCTGGCCTGGGTTATTGCACTGAGAGGTGATGTGCATGTGTGGGTTCAATCCTAATTTGGGCTGGAAGGGCCCTCTGGAGGTCTTGCTTCAAGTCCCAGCTTAATTCAGGGTCAGCTTCAATATTATATTCAGCTGTAGTATTAGATGTGCTTGCTCAGCCAGATCAGAGCAGGCAACAAGGAGTGATCAGCTGTCACCTCCTGGGCATTTGAAGCAAACAGGAAGAATTGAGATCTGTCCTCTTTGCCACTGCAAAGTCCAAAGAGACTGGTGCCTGCAGCATCGTGACCATCGTGTCCTGCTCTGGCAAGGTTTGCTCTCACAAATTCCTGGTGAATTGGGAAAATGCATGAAGCACAGAGCAGGAGATGGAAAAAGTCCAGAAATCCTCAGATTTCTGCTAACTGATTTTGAAATGGCTGAACTAGCTGGGATCTTGTGGCTTTCAGCAGTGGCAGAGTTGTGACTGTTCCTCTGTCAGCAGAAGTGGCCAAATGCAGAAGTAGGTAGAAGCTAAATGAATAACAGTGTATGACAAACAATGGGAAAGATGGTATGGCAAGGATGATGATCACTGAAATGGCAGGAACTCCAAAGGATGTTAGGGTGGCCACATGGCCACAGAACAAAGGCGAGGTATTTTTGAAAGTAGGCCTGAGAATTTATTTTAGCACATGAATATTGAGTAAGTATTCCTGGAGATACTCTGAGGGATGATAGATGGACTCAAGGTATTGTTGCTAATCACTGTGGTTTTAAGTGTTGGAGCTGAGGTACACTTGGCATCTCTAATCCAACTGGACTTCTGATGGGAAAATTGCATTCTTGGGAAGGAATTTAGAAGGTCACAGAAAAGCCAGAAAGAACTTCTCCAGCAGCGATTTCCCCTGCTCTCTAAACTGTCTTTTAAGAGTGGTAATAACTCCAGAATGAAAGGATCTATTCTCACCTTCCAGATGAAAGGGCTAATGCAATTTAACATTTTTGCATGCAAAGATTTTATGGCTTGGTAACCAGCCACGTCTGAAAATGATCTAGGGCAGGATGAACACGTGAGGCAGCGCCTGACTGAGCTGGACGCTTTCCTTGTCTGCCCCGTCTCCTGCAGATAATGGTGATGACCGGTCTGAGAGCATTCTTGCTGAGAACCACGTGGATGGCACCGTGGGGATCCTGAGTGGAGCTGGAGGGAGGAAACCCATGAAGACGGGCATGAAGGAGCTGGCAGTGATGAGGGAGAAGGTGAACGAGCAGCAGCGGCAGATGGGCAAAGTCAGCAAGGCCCATCACAACCACGAGGACTCCAAAAAGTCACGGCTGTCGACAGGCAGGGTGAGAGGGCAGGGCTGTGGGGAGCTAAGGGGGGAAGCTGTGTGCTCACTGGGAAATGCTGAATGCAAAGCCTAAGTGTCATCTGCAATTACTGTCTTAAAAACAAAACAAAAAAATAAGTTGAAAGAAAAAAGTGGGGAGAAGCAAAAGAGGAAAAGCAAACATTTTTGGCCTGATGCTGAGGCTGGACACACCATTTGATGAACTTTTGGTATGCTGGTCAGGAGGCATTATTTTCATTGCAGCTTCACCTCCTGAAGAGGGGCTTCTGCTGACTCGAACCCACCTCTGCAGGGGTGAAGGCATGCCCTTTGCCCATGGACTGGCTTTCACTAAGCAGGTGTGGCCCAAGGGGATTTGAGGGGCCAGAAGCAGGGTTGTCTGCCTGCTGCAGGGCAGCCCCAGTCCAGGTTAAAGGAGGCCACAAGCCCCGAGAATGACCTGTTTGATTGTCCTGTAGCAGGGAGAAGGATCTAACACCTCCCAGTCTCCTTGCCTGTCCCTGTCATCCAGTTCTTGGCCGTGGCTTCCCTCTAGTGGGAAGCTTGATCAAGGCAACTAGATGGGATAGGAATGGGGATGGAGATGGAAACCCACCCCAAAGGGTCCGCAATATACATCCCTGTAAACATACAGAGTTATTATTATCTGGGAAGCACAGGGACAGAAAGGAGCTCTAAAAGAGTCCTCATGCCTTCCAAGAACTAGGCAAAACAGAAGTTTGAAAGAAAATGCAGGCACCATCAACTCTGAGAGCTCACACACTACTGCTGCTCCTTTGTAAAAAAACCCCAAAACCTCACCCACTGCAAAAGCAGAGAGGTGTGGACTCGGTTTGGCTCACATCAGGCATATTTCAACCATACTGCCTTGGCTGGAAGCCCTGTCTGGGAGCTGCTGTGGATAAAGAAGGATACCTCCAGAGGCTGGTTTTTGGGTACTTTCATTCCCAAGTCTTCCTCTCCACTCCCATGGAATCTCACATGCTTTTGAGTTGCACTTCTGGGCCAAAACTGCATCTCAGGTGTGTGCTCTGGGCTATGGTTATGGAAACCCTCCTGATCTATCTGGACTAGCCCTGCTTCATGTCACTTGTCACCACCAGTGGGAGCCATGGTGGCCTCTCTGAGGCTTCTCCTCTGTATCCATTTCCATTGTCCACAGTGTTGATGCTGAATGGTACCATTGTCCTGATATTTATCTATTTATTTATCTGTTTTCTGTGCTGTTTTCAGACCCCTTGTCAGCAGGAGCTGGATCAGGTCCTGGAACGCATATCTACCATGCGGTTGCCAGATGAGCGAGGGCCCCTGGAGCATCTCTACTCCCTTCACATCCCCAACTGTGACAAGCATGGCTTGTACAATCTCAAACAGGTAAATGGGGAGAGTGGGAGCTCTGGGGCTGTCTATGCTTCCAGAAGCAGCCCTTCGCTCAGTGTCTGTCCCCACCATGTACAGACACAGAACTTGCATAGTTCAAGGCTGGGCTGATATCATGTGAGGTAAAAAGCAAATGTTGCATGTGGCATGGACAGGTTTATTTACACCCAGGTGCATCTGCAGCCACAGGTGTGCACAAGTGGAGATGAAATCCACATCCACACATGGTTGTGGGACAGTCCAGAGATGGAGAATCAATTTAGTTCTTCTTCCCCACAAGAGCTGCTTATCTGCCCAGGTCTGTTTTCTTGAACTTTGAGCCAGGCCTTGTCCTGTCTGGGCCCTGCTGCAGACAGAGAAAGAAAAGCAGAGAGGGACTGAATACTGAAACAGCCTTGTAGACAAATGAGAAGGCACTTCTGGGAGTCAGGAAGGTTTCTGCTGCACTTTACTCGTTTTCCTCCACAAGTCAAGGCTGGTCCCACAGCTCCAGGAGGGATTCCTTCCAGGCAGGGTGGGGATTGGGGTGCAGCATACTTCTGATGAAGGCATTTATGGGACCCAGAAAAACTGAGAAAACTTGTGTGTCTGAATTCTGGCTTCATCCATTCAAATCCACTAGGTGACAGTGGGTGAGCAACGGGGAAAAAACTGCCAGGAAAAACAGCAGAACAACAGCTGGTGCAGGGTTGACTAGAGTGACCTGTGAATAATACCTGGATATGAGGATCCCTTATAACTGAGCCTTTGGAGGGGACCCATGCTGTTTACATGGCTAGGCTTTTTATTTAGGACTACTTCTATCCCTTGATCAGAAGCATTAACAAAAAAAAAGGATGCTCTGAGAGAATCTCCCTCTGTCTGTTCTTCTGTCTCTGTCCCACTTGGACCCTCACCCATCTACCTCTGAAGAGCCCCATGGGCTGGCTGGATCCCCCAGCATGAGCACACTTGGAAGGGCTGGATGGAGCAGAGCTGGCAAATTGCCTGTAAGATGAGCCATGTCTGGGGAATGAGGCTGAACACTGCAGTGATGCTTTGTGTGCTACAGAAGAAAAAAAAGAGTCTCTGCTGCTCCTTGTACCTGGGGAACAAGTCAGCCTGCACTGGCCTGCTTGGAGTAACCTCTGCATGTCCCACTACACCCTGTTCAGAAATGTATCTGCTGGGGCTGAAGGGATGAACATCGGGTTCAAAGTACCTGCAGCACTGAAGGGCAGGAGTAGGACAATAACTATTAGACCAAGAAACTTTTCTCTAACAAGACTGGGAGGAGAGAGTCCAGGTCCAGATGCACCATGGTTCCCACCTCTGTTCTGGGATGAGTGAATCTATGTTTGGTGTGGCTGTGGGGGCCTTGATCTGATGTTTGTTTACCGTAATCTACAGATGAGAAGAATCTTATATAGCTCCTTTGTCAGTCTGTCTTGTCCCCCTTTGCCAAAGGATCCTTGTCTCATTGGGATGCTTTCATCAACAGTTGGCAAAGGGTGATGCATTTCAGGGACACTTAAAATTGGCTTCTTGGTCCCTGGCACAGCCCCTGGGGAAAGAGGTTCAGCCCTCATCCTGTACTGCTGGAGTAACACTGCTGTGAAGCATTCGGCCCTGGGGGATTTGAGTACAGCATTCCATGGATTTTGCCTGAATCTAAACTAGTGCCAGATCACCAGAGAAACCCCAGCTCTGCCAGTGCTGGGGCTTGGGCTGGGTGACGTGGAAGTGGATTGTTTTGTCCTTCTCTTGACTCTGACACCTGTCCTGTTCCTCTCCATGCAGTGCAAGATGTCGGTGAATGGGCAGCGTGGCGAGTGCTGGTGCGTGGACCCCATCCATGGGAAGGTGATCCAGGGTGCACCCACCATCCGTGGGGACCCTGAGTGCCACCTCTTCTACACAGCCCATGAGCAGGAGGACCGGGGAGCACACGCCCTGCGGAGCCAGTAGACAGATGTGATCTTGCTGGCTGGAGGTGGCTCACTGTGGCCCCAGTGCTGGATTTTACATGAGTTTCAGCATGTCTCTTTAAGCTCTGGAAGAGACTGGGTGCTGCCCTCCTTCCTCAGCTGCCTGGTTCCTGGGGAGGGGAGGGATAATGGGAGGGGAAGGCAGTGGGGGTTTTGCAAGGAGAAGGGACTGCTTTCTTAGTCTTTCACCCAACATAAGCCAGAAAACTGGTCTTCGCTCCTCACTCTGCAGCCCTGCCCTCCCTGCTGCTTCGCGGCATCTTTCTGCACCCTCCAGCACAGAGTGCCATGTGCTCCCTGACCCTTCCCAGGGGACAAAACCCCTTGCTATGAGTGGGAGAGGGTAAAAACCTGAAAGAGCCCAGCCTTTCCCCCTCTTTTTCTCTCTTCCCCAAGACCAAAGACTGTAAATACTGTCACCTGCCTCTTGTGTCCTGCCAGTCAGTCTCTTGTACCTCAGCCCAGCCATCAGTCCTGGCATGGGATGTGGTGTGGGAGGGGGGGAAGGAAGAAAGACCCCACATTCCCAGCTGGAACATAACACCACAGTTGGGATGTGTTCCCCAAGGAAGCAGCAGTGAGGGAAAGGGCTAAAGATGAGACAGCTGCCACCTTGCCCCCTAACAACACTCTTGGGTGCTTCCTTTGCTCATGCTGGGGCACACCACAGGGACCTGGCTTCAACCACTGGTCTGGGAGCATGGGGCCTTTGGGTGATAGCAAAGCTAAATGCTTGTTTTTCCAAGGGATTTGAAGGGCTTTTGCACAGTATTTCTTAGGATCAGCTTATGCCGAGGGAGCTAAAATGAACTTGCTGAGGCTGGGTGGAAGGATGCGTGTGTAGATTTAGGATAACAAGCCAGGGGATGTCTCTCTCTCATTCATTTTTTCTTTATTTCTAGATAGGAAAAAACAAAACATCTAAAACCTGCGTTCCCAAGCAGCTGCCCTTGTCCCTCCATTTTTGCTTGGGACTGAAGTGAGCATCTGTTATTCAGCACATAACTTTTTCTTTTTGTAAGTAAATTACAGTATATATCCTGCTCTGTAAAGGCCCTCACACACACACAACACACATACACACTCTCTCACTCCTCTGCCCACATACACATTTGTATAGATGAAATCCAAGTGATTCCAGGTGCTCTGAAAGGTTTTGTGCTGGACATACTGAGGAGAGATGTGTCTCTGCTGTTAATTCACCTGTTGATTTCTTTCTGTACAGAACACACTGATGCTGAGAATAAATAACTTCCCCATTGCCTAAGCAAGGAGGTTTTATTATTTTCTTTGTTTTTTGTTTTTTTTTTTTTAATATGGATTGTCCTTATTAGAGCAGTTGCAAAAACCCTCTCCTTGGAGTAAACATCTTGGGCTTTTCTTAAATGGTTTGTTGTTTCTTGTCCCCCTTCTTGGACCCACATGTCAGATCTGAAGTGTGAAGGGCACAGGGGGTGGGCTCTGTAAATTAGGGCCCTCATGCCTTTGCAGGGGTTTGGACATGGCAATGGGGGAGACAGGGGAAGGACTTTGGAAAGTTGGGGATGGGCATACGTGGATGTGTATGAATGGGAGCACATGAAAGAAGAAAACACACCATGCAAAACCAAGTAACTGTAAAAATGTTGCAACCTGTTTTCTGTTAACATCTGAGGGTGTTCTGCTTTTTCACATAAAACTTGCACATGCTGGCTCTCATCTGCAGTTTGTACATTGTTTTGTTTAGGAATAGGGAAGTTTTCTTATGTGTTTGCCTTCTTCCCTTTTAAGAAAGCTGAGCTACGTAAAGATGGAATAAATTAAATAGGATGCCAAAAAACTGTTGTCCTTCCCCTCCACAGTGCTTGTAGAAAATGTTTCTTTGCCTGATTCATCACATGCAGATTTGTCCCTGACCATCCTTTGTCCATGGCTGACAGGCAGTAATGGGAGCTGAGCTTTTCATTGTTACTGGCCCCAGTTATGTGAGCAGGGAGGAACTGGTGTCACTCCTCCTTTGCTTGGCTATATTCCTACCATACATGAGTCCTTGTGAATCTGTTGGGAAAGTGTAGGGAGGTACAGGCTCTGTGTGTGACCAGAGTTTGGCTGAGCTGCTCCATTCACAGGGCTGTGGAGAGATGTCCTGCACCTTCTCCCAAGGTGAGAAGGGCTACCAAAGGGAGTGTAACTGCAGAGCGTGGTGTTTGGGCATCACAGAGAGGAAAATAATAATTAAAAAAACAACCCCACACTACATTCAATTAAAATGGCAGCACTGAGGGAGAGGCTCTTTGTTGGCCCCAACATCCTGCATCCGGCTGCCTGTGGTTTCCCTTTGGACTCCCACAGGGGAGGCAGAACTACTGGGCTTCTTCTCCTGCTTCTTTCTACTCCCTGCCACGAGTTTCAGACTGACACGTGTTGAGTGGCTTGCCAGGGATGAGGAGCACCAGGAAACTGTATGGGGACAGGAGACAGTGAGTGCATGGGACTGCAGGGGAGGGGGAAAGAGGACAGGCCTAATGGGGTGTGGGATATAAGCTGAAGAACATGGGAAAAGTAGCAAAATGAATAGCCTGTTCTGTGCCTCTGGGGCAAGCTGGAGGTGGCTCAGGTGATGCCATGGGGGGGAGTAGCAGGGTGGGGCACAGGGGTGCTCCAAGCCAGGTGCTGCCCAAAGAGGGCTGGAGGTGACAGAGATGCCCAAGCCAGAGCCCAGCAGTGCCAGGGGCCACCCTCCTGTTCAAGGGCTGGAGGGGAACAAACACAAGCTGTGACACCTGCCACTAGACCAGGCTGCTCCAAGCCCCATCCCACCTGGCCTTGCAAGCTCCTATGGCTGGGGTATCCACAGCTTCTCTGGGAAACCTGTTCCTATGCTTCATCATCCTCACAGTGAAGAATTTATTCCTAATATTTTTAGTATAAAAACCTGCGCGATAGTATAATATAAACAATGTTATTTAATACAAAGAAAATCATTATTGTGAAAATGTATGGCCGTATCTGTGTGCAGCTGTAGCTACTTATACAGGTGTATACAGCTCCAGCTATCCTTAGGGATGTGATTTATTAGCCCGTAGCTGAAGGCAGCACTGACTTTTTGGGTGGAAAGCCCAGTTTCAGGGTCCCTGCGGCTGGAAGCGGCAGCACCGCGGGCCTGCCCGGCCGGCCGGGCCCTGAGGGTAAGGCGGGCGGGGCATGGCGCCCCCT